AGCTCAAGAGTAAAGTTGTTGTACGGATGTAGGATTTCTTAAATCAATTTGGTTGCTCAACAAGTAAATAAGTGAACAAGACCACATCCCATATCTAACAAAACCGAAGGGGGCAAAAAAAACTCGTAACATATTGGGAATATATAGATACTTATAAACTATAGGAGCATACCTTCATCATGGCAGGAATCCAAAGGTGCTGACCATCAGCGTCTATTCCAAAGATTGTGGTGAAGGGTTGTGTCCGACTCTTATGCCATAACCATACATGATATGCAAGTATGATCACTAACCCCAATGGCACAAGCATCAGATCCATATAATATTTTCTCCACTCCATATATAACTCTCTCTTCCAATGCACACAGCTCTTTGGTGTGTGTTCGTGTGTGTATATATGTATATATATACAGATATCCTGATGGCTACTTTGATATATACTTATAACCTAATTATGAACTCATGTTTATGTCAAAAAAGATCTTTTTTAAAGAAATAATAAAAATCATTAGGTACATATCCGGAAGATGTTTTTATTCGGCTTTCAATGACGCCATATATAAAATACTGGGAGCGTACACTTGCGTCTACCAAAATTCCGCATTTCATTACATTATCTTAATTTCTGTTTTGCATTAATATTTACCGTTTTGTTTTGTTTCGTTTCGTTTGGTCGAAGGTGATATAGTGTGGCTGGCATATGCGACGAATGTCATGCAATCCTTGTAATGTCAGGCTATAGGGTTTTCTCTCCCAATTCAATAAGCAAATGCCACTTAAAACCGATAGCAGTCTTGGCTTAATAATGAATGTGAGCATATAATATACATATATAGCTAATTTATTGGGTCAATCACATATAGGTTCGAGTATTAAAATTGTTTAGGTAAATTTCTAAGGGGGTTGACAAGAAATATTGTCATGTTGGGAATTTATGTACGAGTGATATAAAATCTCGCATTGAGAAGGAACAGTCCGGCCGCGAGTGCATGTGGCTGACCACCGCGAGCTCCACTATAACACCGCGTATGTATCTGGTCATATTAACATTATGTATGATATTAAGCGCAGTTAAAATCATAGTAATTAAGCCTAATATTTTTTGTTGATAACACAACAAATAATATAATAAAAAATCATTCTTATTAAGCATGAAATTTTTTTGAATCATCATGCACTTTCCTTTTCATATGGTAGTGATGGTGGCGGTGGTGGTAATGGTGATGATGGTTGTGGCATAGTAGTAGTGATGGCAGCGGTGGTGATGGTGATGGCATGGTAGTGATGGCATTGGCTGCGACGATGGTGATGGTGGTGGTGGTGATAGTGGTAATGGTAATGGAGCCGATGGTGCTGGCAGTGGCTGCGGTGATGGATGTGATGGTTGGTGACGGTGGTGGTGATGGTGACGGTTGTGGTAGTTGTGGTGATAGTGGTGGCGGTGGTGATGGTAGTGGTGGTGATGATGACATGGTGGTGGTTGGTAGTGACTGCGGTGATGGTAGTAGTGATGGTGGCGATGACATGGTGATGATAGTGGTGGTGATGACAGTAGTGGCTGCGATGATGGTGGTGGTGGTTGGTGACAGTGGTTGTGATGGTAGTGGCATAGTGGTAGTGGATAGAGGTGGTGGTGGCATCGTCGTGGTGGTGGTGGTGGTGGTGACGACGACCCTAGTGGTACGACATTGGTGGGGGTGGTCGAGACGAGATGCTGGTGGTGATGGTGATGCTGATAGTGGTGGAGAGTGATTGAGAGACTAGTGTTTCTCATTTTGTGCCCGAGAACAAAAAATAGAAAAAAAAATTATTCTTTTTTCTATTCCCTAGTACAAAAATTAAATTGATTCATTCCGTGATCAAAAAAATAAATCAGTTTTAGCAAACGAGAATTTTATCCATTTTTGTTCTCGAGAACAGAAATTAAAAAAAAAAAATTGATTCTGAAAAGCTTGTCATGCACACCCAAATTAAGAAACATTTATCGCTCTCAATCACTCTCTACCACTACCACCATCCCGGCACAATGACCACCAGCACTATCACCACCACCATCACCAACCACCACCACCATCATCACTCCACCACCGCCACTATTATCATCACCACTGCCACCACTACCATCACCACGCCATCCCATCGTCACCATCATTGTCATCGTCACCATTACCACCACTACCATCACCACCATTACCATCACCACACCACCACTACTACCACCATGCCACCATCATTGCCACCATTATCACCACTACCACACTACCACACTACCACTACTACCACATCATATGAAAAGAAAAGTGATAATCAAAAGAAAAAAATTAAGCTTAATAGGAAAAACATTTATTCTATTAATTGTTGAGTTATCAAACGTAATTCTCATTCTCAGAATAAAAATAAAACATGTTATCAAATATATATTTTTCTCAAAAACTGTTTCAAGTCACAGAAAAGAATTGTTTCTTTTCAAAAATAGTGTCAGAAAACAGAATGGTTGTCATGCACATCTTTAAGCAGAGGATGAAGAGATTAATAATGTCATTTCTTTTTTTTCTTTTTTCTTTTTGGATACATAATGTCATATCTTTTGTAGCTGAGTGTTAGCTATAAATTATGATTATTTTAATGGCTTTGTTTTTACAATATTTGAGCTAAAGACTAGTTATAAGTGTAAAGTAATGGGCCAAATGAGTACCAATTAGCCCAATAAGGTAAAAGAGAGAGAAAGAGATAATTCGATGATTTACTATCCTCTTTTACTATTTTTACTGCAGTTAGAGAGCCATTTGAGTTACTTTTTGGAAGTGAAGAAAAAAAGAGAGATGGATCGTTGGATGAGGACAGGCATGGATGAACAACAATGAAACTTTGGATCAATGGTTATTTTTAGTTTTAAATAGGAGTCTTAGATACAGAGATATAGACTAAGCACTCTCCTGTAAAGTTTTAGTTTTCAATTCCAGAATTTCTTTTCTGCTCTTTACTTTTTGATAAGTTCGAGTCTTTGTTCTTCAAATTCTCACATCAAGAGCAAGCGTGAAACTTCTTTCTTGGAGGGATCCAAAACTCAACTACATGCAAGCTTTGGTTCTTCATTTTCCTTTTCTAAGCTTTTCATTTGTTAATATGAATTTCTAAGTTTCTTTTTCTGGGATTCACGATGATTGGGTGATCTTTTATTTTTCTGAATATTGTGATGGCTTGCTTTAGTTTCATTTGATTAACAAGATTTTGATTTTAAATTCAAGAACACCATGGGAATGGGTCTTGGAGTAATTTTTGCATAACTGTGATTGGGAAATCAGGTTATGTCCCTTGTTAATTGAACCCTTGAGGTTAGGGATAACCCAAGGAGGTCTTTGATACAATTTTTAAAGATTTAGAAGACTTTGGGAAAAGATTCTTCTAAAGATTAAAATCTGGAACTGGGAAGTTTCAGATAAAATAGTCATAGTAATTCGAATTCTGACATTAAAGTGCCGTATCAGTTATAAAACGAAGGAATGCGAAATTTTTCCTTCATCCATGATTCAAGAATTCCAGTACCGTATAATTGTTACATTTGTGATTAGATATTTCTCTGTTAAATTTTGTTTAATACAAATCTAGTAAATACCTTGTTTGATTTAGTCTTTTCTTAGTTTTAAAAGATTGATCACTTAATTTCAAGAAATTAGAAATAGGAATTAAAAAAGGAAAACTAAACAAACCGTTCCCTGAGAACGATAACTCTTTCTTTTGAAATTTACTACCAACACTGAGCATAATTCTCAATTTGTAGTGGAGAGCTATCATCAAAAGTCCGGTGGGGTATAGCTTTGCTTAAGCGTATTGGCAATTAAACATTAGAACCTTGCAGACACTTAAATATACCTCAAAATGGACATGGACTGTTTTGATTGTGGGTTATTGCCTTAGGATATTCAAAGGCATCTACTATAGCATCTAAGGAAATCGAGTAAGAACTATCAATCTATCATCAAGATTTATTTGGGAGCAACCATGTCAAGATTTGGGTAGAGATTAGAAATTTAAAGATTCCCACGCATCGTGTATATATATGTAACGACAGAATTGAATTATAGGAACAATCAAGCACGTGAATTAATTGATCCAGCTTAATCTTGTCTCGAATTATTTTAAAACTTAATAATGAGAGCTTTGCCGTCTATATAGTTGTATCCACATAATCGATTAAGGGATGATTAAACGAAAAAAATTCACAATGTGAGCATTTGGAATGACTTTTCCTATTGGGTTGAATTGAGAATGCTGGATTGTTATGTTCGGTGCTTTGCCCAATGTTCGACCCTGGGTTGATGGATCAGACCTGGTGCTTTGCCAAATGTTTTTGGTCTGTTTGGTCTTTTGGGTCAGGCTCGAGTATTAAATACAGCCCGAATAACTCTTTTTTTTTCCTTTCTTATTTTTTTAAGATTTTAAATTATTTATATGATAAAAAAATAAATAGAGAAATAAAAAATTACAAAATATAATTTCCAGTGTTACAATGTATTTTAATGGTGTGAGAACTAAACTTTATGCATCTTTTGGTCCAAAACAAACACAAGTAACTTTGGCGGTACGATATTAGTCAGTTATGCTTTGTATTTTTACATACCTTAACTTCAAAAGTTCTGGGTGATCTCAAACCTTGCGATTGTTATTACGCCCCCAGTAAATCTCAGGAGTTTTTACATGCAAAGGATTTACTTATTACTAATAAAATCTAACCCCTGTTAAGTGTATACAAGTAACTTCAAAATATAATACCAGATTTAAAGAACTTGCATTTTCATTTACTTCAAAAGTTTTACAATAAGTGTATACAATAGTAGAATAAAAGCATATCTTATATAAATAATAATAAAAAATTTGAAATTAAAATTAAAATTAAAACAAATCTTCTCCTACAAAGTAGCCTAAAGTGAAAGTAACGAGGTTAATACTCCAATGCTATCAATATGAAATGTTCATTGAATTGAACACAATTTGATACTCTAGTTCAAATAGGCCTCATCTATTCCTATCTTTATCTGTTCTTTCCTAGCCACAAAGTCTAATTTATGAAGCACCAACAACATTCCCACAGAACTAGAGAATGCAATAACTGGTCCAAAGATCCAAAGCAGAAGGGGAAGCCCTGTGTGGAAAAGCCTGTTTCCCACAATATTCAAAATAGTGGCCTTCCGAAGGAGCTCAGCCAAATACTCTGCGTTGACCATTGACTCAACATCTTGTGGTGTGCAAATGAGGATGGTCAACTGGCTAAGAAACCTAACTGAGAGAGAGTGAAAGAGAAATGAAAATAAGAATGTAGTAAAGAGAGTTGCATATTTTAATGCCACTGCAAATTCTCCATGTGCTCCATAAATTGAGTCAAGTAGAGGCTTCTTCACACTGTAAGTGCTGCTTATCACTGCTCCAAGGCCACAGCAGAGTAGGATACTTGTGCTTGCCATAAAGATTGATCCCATTATCATGTTCCGAATACTTTGGACCGCTAACATGCTCTTCTTGTCAATATCCTGAAATTTATTCACTTAACATCACCATCAAAATTGGGTCAAACTTATTCAAATAAAGTACTCAAAATAACTATGTGTGTAAAGCAATCAATTCAACCTAATATACAAGCTTAATCTGTTAAATGAAAATCATTTTAATAGTTTTATATTATATTTCTCTAACATATTTTATCACACAAAAGCCCGTTAATAGTATTGGAGGAGGTGAAGATCGAATTCGTCACTATTTTGCCATGAAAACTCTGATATCAAATTAAGCAACCAATTCAACTCAAAAAGCTTAAATTTTTTAAGTAAATACTCTGAATTTTCTTATCATTATGTGAACATGCTCTTAAACATATTTAAAGAGGTATACCTTCATCATGGCTGGAACCCACAAACACCGGCCATCAGCATCTATTCCGAAGATGGTTAAGAAAGCCTGTGTCCGGACCTTATGCCATAGCCAAACATGGTAAGCGAGGTTTATGAGTAACCCAAATGGTACCAGCATCACATCCAGATACAATGTCCTCCACTCCATATATATGTATGTCTACCTCTCTTTCAATTGTGTCCTTATGTGTATAGCTGTATCTATGCACTTAATTCTCTCTCATTTTCATCACTTTTTCGGTGAAGTTTTACCTCTCTTTATGGCATTCACAGCTTTATTTATAGGGAAATACTCAACCAACATTACAGCTAAATACAGAATATATCATGTTTTGATCACTTTTGACATAGTAATCAAGTTGAATTCCAATGGGAGAATGAGGTTCTATAACTGTGGATTAACGAATTTCAATTAGGTGAACAACATTCTATATACATTCTGCTCTGGTTAAAAGTTTAAACCAATAATATTCTAATTCCGTATTATCCATTTAAGTCACATCATGTATTGCTAACTTAATTATTCAGTATCTTTGTTTCATTCTAACTCTCTTTTTCTCTCCATAGGTATGTGCGAGTCATTTGATTCAATTACCTAGTTAATGGATCATGGCCCAAAAAAAAAATAGTAAAGTGTAATTATGGATCTTGGCATTAAAAGCTAGGATTGGCATCATATGATATTGGTAATTTGGTAGGATGCTGATGTATTTGAGATGCGCGAAGAGAATTCAGGTAAAGATATCACACGTTCTAGAAGGTAAATAAGAATAAATGTTAAGTACAGTGTATCCAGGAACCAATATATTATTCATTCATTTTTTATTATATCTTTTTCTTTCTTTTTTTGGAAAATATTATATCTTTTTCTGAAATATAAGAATGTAAGGATTTCTCTCACCTACCATCATTACTTAGGATTTCATAGGAAGTGGTTTTTGGCATATCTTTTTCTGAAATATAAGAATGAAAAATAAACCCTATTTTATCATCAAATATTCAAACAATGATATAATAATTCATTTCATTCTATATCGCTTCAATTCTTTCACCCATTATCATATATTTAAATATAACTTAAAAAAATTAAATTCTGCTCAATGGAATATATAAAAGAGAATTAGTTCATCGTTTAAATGAATAAAATATAACTATGGGTATATACGAAGTTGATGAATAGTTAAATATAGTTGTACTTAAACAGTAAAAAACATAAATTTTGTTTTAATATTTATCTATCTTTAAATTTTTAAGTGATTAATTTAATTATTATAATTTCAAAAAATAGATATTACAGTGGGAATTCAAATTTTGTTATTAATTATATAGTATGACAGTATAGATATATAGATTACTTTATTTATCTGTATTGGATTCAATTGTTAGTTGTTTTGATAAGAACATCGAAGTGAGAACATTGAAGCATCCCTCTTACATATTCTTCATTTTTGGAAATTTGTCACAGACTCACACCTAATTAACAACGCATCAATATATATTTGCATGATGCATCATGCCACTTTATTTAGTGCATGGAACTTGTTCTGTCGGCTATTTGGTATCCGTGATTTTCGAAATCTATGTGCAAGAGAACGAAAAGAATATTTGCAGAATTTTCAGCCCCATTAATATTCTATATCTAAATTCCCAATCTTGCACTTGGCCTATTATTTGAGCTTAATTCGGTGAATAAAAAAGGAACCTTTAGTTTAATTCGATTTGTTCATCTACCAAAAAAAAAAATCGATTTGTTCAGTCGAATCTTCAATGTTGATTATTTGCTACATTATATAGTACTTTATTCTTAAGGCTATCAAACTATCAAGCACGTTGATTGGCAAATTGCACACTAATTAGCTCTATATCTTTTGGCATGCGATCAATGCATATGAATATTATTTTTTTTTTATTTAACTATGAATATATCCTTACATTAGAGTTTTTATTGAGCTTGAAACCGTGAAATGTATATAAATTATGGTGAAATCTTTTGGCTCGTGTTAGAAAATGGGGGTCATTGAGGATCGAACTCGTGATCTTATGATCACTGAAGCTCTAATATTATGTAAAGAATCACTTCAACACAAAATCTTACGGTGCTGGGTAAAAGCTTTTTTAATAGTTTATATTATTCTCTAATAGCTCGTAAATTGAAATTTATTTATTTTTATTAAAAAATAATATCATATAAAGCAATCTAATTCTATTAAAAATTTTAAGGGAATAGATAAAGGCACATAAATATTTTTTATATCATTCATAACCAAGATGAGCCGAGGATGCCACATGTAAACACTAAACATTAATCAGTTCTTTGATGCGACCCATCTCCATCGCAAGCACAAAACCAGATTCTCATCTCCCCTGCCTTAGCTAGCTGTGCCATCTTCAACCACATCCTTTAGTATACTACATAATTGCCATTTATAAAATGGCATATCTACAAATTGCCACTGCATTAATGAAAAAGAAGGGGGGAAAGACAATTTTTAAAGAATCTCCAATGTGTTTGTTTTCTGTTTTTCTTTTTTCTTTTTTTGGTAAATTGTTTTCTTGTTTTTAAATGAAGATTTTTGAAGAACAAGTGATTGAGTGAACAACGATTACAAATAAGTATCTTTTTTCTTCTTAAAAATATAAAAATGATTTCTGGGGCAAAAAGCTTAGAACAAAAAAAAAGGATGTTTTAGCGTTTAGGGTTTAATAATTTTTTATTATATTGACCTAAATGAAATATCAAAATTTACATACTCATATTTTTAATATAAACAATTTTTTGAGTTATATACATAGTGAATGTATTTAATTTAACTTCCAGCTGAGGCCTTAGGAGCCGGGGCTTCGCTTATTATACTAGTTGCTTATTGTTCTCAAATCAAATAGTTTTGTTTCTATCAGTACCCAATTGGTCATTGACCCGGTCAAGATATTAGGTTATTGGGTCATTGATTCAACTAGTAGGTTATTGATTGAATTGCATGACCCGAATATATGTATATAAATTTATATTTTATATTTAATTATATAATAAATATTTTAAATGATACAATTTAAATAACAACTCAATATAATCTAGTGGTAAGTACTCTAATGTATATCTCCATGATAAGGGGTTCGGGCCCCATACCAATTATTCAACAAGTGAGGATAGCCATGGTTGGTGGCGGTGTCCCTCACTCCAATTAGTTGAGTTCGATTCCCAACTTCTATCAAAATTAAAATATTTTGAACACCCATTTTAAAAGAGTTTAAGGCAAAAAAATCTATACTAATTGAACTGCAGTTGGTCACCAGGTTGATTGCATAAGTGGTTTAATGCTTGAACCAGACCAATTGATGGGCCAATTTCGATCTTGCGGGTCCGGTTTTAATAACAGTAGTTTTAAGCATATGACTTTCATAAATTAGGCCGCAACAAAATGCCAACTAGTTTCATAATCAAATATTACATGACCCACCAAATGGTGGTAACTCAGTTGGTGCATGGGAGCTAAGCAGGTGGGGGTGAGAGCATGTGTTCGAATCTCCCCAGTACCAACTTTAGGAGGGGTTTAAAGTCTTAATTTTGGACTCACCCCGAATCAGATTAGTTGCGAAGCAATGAATCCATTGGAATATTTCAAAAAAAAAAAAAAAATTACATGACCCTAATCACATTTTTGGAAGCAAGTCTAGTTGCTTGGATATCCCCGGGACTCATGTAAGAAAAAGGGTCTGCATAGATATAAGACTAATCCCACATGAGTTGAGCTGAGTGACAATTTTTTAGTTACGACTCTAAGAGTCCCTTACAGAATTTGAACCGATGCTCTTTTAACTGCTTATAGGACTTATATTACCACTTGATCCAACCCTTTTAGAGATTGTTACCATTTTTATTTTTATTTTGGTACAATGTTACCACTTATTTCATTTAGCAATGAAAAGAACTTCTATAGTGCCACAAGGAAAACTCAATGATGAGGAGACAAATAAAATGTTAATGGTAATCATAATCATAGCCATATATCATAAAAGCCACTTGAATTATTATGGTAAAGTGCTTCTGCGCTATGACTTGTACGAGTAAAATACTACCACTTTTACAACTTACATAAAGTTGAAAATGATACGCCTAATAACGCATTCACACATTAGTCCTATCGATTTCATTATCTTAGTCTTAGCTGAATACATCACACATTGTCACTTTTGTCATTGAGCACCATCTTTGCTTTCCCACTCCCACAAACAAAATCAAGGTTGTAAAACACTAGCAACATAGCGATAGAGCACAATAAAACAAGCACGGGACCAAAGATCCAAAGCATAAGAGGAATTGCTGAGTAGAAAATCCTGTTTCCCACAGTGTTCAAAATAGTCCCTTTTTCCAAAATGTCGGTCAAATACTTTGGGGTCACCAAGGACATTGCATCTTGTGGTGTGCAAATAAGGATGCTCAACTGGTTGAGAAACCTTATTGATTGACTGTGGCAGATAAATGAGAACAAGAAAATGGTAAGTAATGTCAAATATTTGAGTGCTACCATGAATTCGCTGTGAGCTCCATAAACAACATCATCAAGTGGCTTTTTCACACTATAAGTGCTGCTTATAACTGCTGCCAAACCAGCTGATAGAAGAATGGATGTGGTGGCCATAAGTGTTGATCCCATGATTAGATTACGAAGACTTTGGGCTACTAAGATGTTCTTCTTTTCAATGTCCTGCAGCCATGGACACAATGTTTTGAGAATATGACTTTCAATGGTTTATATGAAATTGAAATTAAGTTATTTCTACTGCTACAAGTGTACTCCTTAATTAGTTGCACATTAAAAAAAGTTCCCAATTTTAATTTTCACTCTTATCTAATGGTGTGGAATTAAATGAAGAGAAATATTATCAACTTGTTCTTTTTAACATATTATCTATTGTTTGGTAAATTTCATGTGGGTCTCACTAAATAAATAGTGGCACCAAGTTATTAAGTAGAATTCAAATGAAATCATTCTAATAAAAAATGTAAGGTAAAAAATATATTACTATTAATTTCTCTTCTTAAATAAGTATACTTTTTTAGAAGTGTTTGGAGGCAGGGAAAGAAACGGTGACCCGTACGTAGCAATTAGCATTGAGGCAAAAAAAATAAAGTTATGGATTGTGTCGTGAAACATTGAACGAAATTTTCTTTTCTATGTAGATATTTAAACCAGACCAAAAAACAAAAGAAGTAGAGTCATCAACCCACCTTTCTTTTTGTAAAGCCACTAACCCGCTTTTGATTGAAAAAGGTGGTTCATATTTTGGCATAACACTAACATGATTTGTAAATGACTGGAACTCTTACGAAAACAAATTTTCTATAAGAATTCATTATAAATCAAATCAACAATTTTATCTCTCCAAAAGATTCCTATTACAATGTGTTTAATTTTTGAAGATATATTTTCACAGTCCAAATTTGTACGGTTGTATCATAACCAGCCATTAGCTAGATTCATTCACCATACCATACACAAGCCTTTTCAATTATTGGACCAACGGATAGTTAAGTTCTGCTTTCAATTTTCTCTCCAGCGTTTATCTGAATCTTAGAAAGTCTTCGCTAAGAATTTAATTAACAGCTGAGAGTAGCTTAAGTAATAAAGTGTCTATTTTGTGGAGATACTCGAATTAAAGATATGGAAATTGTTCTGGCCAAGCCACTCTACAAGCCCAACCAGCTGGGTCTAATTTTTAAAGCTCATATCTAAAACTTTCTATAAGGCACCCATAATGAGCCATAGAGACTCATCATTGAGGGTTTTCTCTTATCCCACACTACTGCCCACTGTGCACTACAGTAAGGCAACATGTCTTGTCTTCTTGACAAGACAAGGCTAGGTAACAGCTCTTTATTTTCTCTCTCCCACGCTTCACTGAAGGATCCCTTCTCTAAATACCCCCCTCCCCCACATGGAAGGGGCATCATCATCTTCTTCTCTATCTATTCAATTTACATGTTACTCTGTATCTATGTAGAGCTACCTTAGTCACTCACACACACTCCCTCATTACAATATATCTACACAGCACCATGGGAAACTCATGTTGAGCTTTTTGGTCTCTACAATTGTTACACATAGTATCCCTATATTGACATACTTCACAATCCATGAGACATATTTATGAACCACCAACAGTTTAGAGATTCAATATCATATAAAAAATTAGTGTACCTATATATATATATATATGGAATTGAAAAATTGGATATATCTAAGTATAAAATTCTAAATTTAGTACAAGCTCCATCATATGCATGATTTTAATGAGTATGATAAGGATGAAGGGGTCGAAAAAAAAAATCAATTTACTATATATATTTGTTATTAAGGATGTCATGAACAAGATGGAATACCTTTAACATGGTAGGCACCCATAAGCGTCTGGCACGAGCATTGATTCCAATTGTGGTTGAAAAAGGCTCTGTGCGAGTCTTATGCCACAACTTAGCATGATAACCAGCGGTTATCAGAAATGCTAATGGTACAAGTATCATATCCAAATAATATTTCCTCCATTCCATTATTGCTTCTCTCTTTCCTATGTTTAACTTAAAAAGGGATGTGTGCTGTTTGAGTGTGTGTTTCAGTCCTGCTTCTTTTTGCTGTTATCCTTTTATATTCTTTCTCTTAGCAATGAAGTTCTATATATAATGGAAAATCATGTGAGTGTAACAAATGAAAAGCAAAAGATATTAGCAACTGGGCTTTACTCGTGCCACTAGTTTATGGGACAATCAAGTTTAGATAGTGTTGGTGGTACTAATTGTGAAATTCTTTTTTGTTATAAAAAGTAATGCTTAAATATTAATAATCTTATTTCCATCAATTTTTTCCCCAAATTATTTAAGACTCACCGTTCAACGCATTTTTTTTATACAATGGTAATATTGAGTTTTGAACCTTTTAATGTCATATAAATTATTTAAATCTCTTATTATTAGACCGCTCTCTTAGTGGTTTGCACTTGCTGTTTTTAAGTGGTTGATGTTTTACTTCTTCTTTTCTTTTCTTTTTTTGTATCTCAGTAACTTAATCATATTTTAGAAGTTATATAAAAGAGTGTAAAAAAATAAAGATTCATGATTTAGGATTAGCAATGTAGAACCCAATAATATACCCTAAAAAGAGAGAGAGAGAGAAATGCAAAAGTAACACCGGGAGTGGATGGATTAATATATATATATATATATATATATATATATATATATATATATATATATATATAGGCACGAAATTTACATAAAATATAAAAGTAAGCAAAAGCTAACAATTTTAAAGATTGAAAGAGATTGAGATACAGTCATACAGAACGCTAAAGTGAAGAATGGAAGTGCCGAAAAAGAGAGAAGGGAATTAGTGAAGTTTTACATTGGTTATAAATATGCTAAATGAGGATTATATAAATGGAAATGATTCCTAAACCTAATATCTTAATATCTTAATTTGAAATGTACTATTCGAACCCATTTATTGTAATGGGTTTTGTCCCTTAACACATTTGATAAGGTCTTAAATTAAAATGTGATATCCGACCTCATTTATTATGGGGAAAAAGAAGTATTTTTGAATGACACAAGCTTGTGTCATTTTAGGTGTTTTACACAAAGTACGACCGGTCGTACTTTGTGTAAAATTGAAAAGTTTTTTTTTTCTCTCTCTTCAGTCACATCGCTGACGTGTAAAGTAAAAAAAAAATTAACTTTTCAGAATTACACGGTGTATGACCGATCGTACTCTATGTAAATCGTTAAAAGAACACAACTTGTGTCCTAATACACACTAAACCCTTTATTATGATGTCCCCTATGAATGCCAAAGGAATGAAAGGAGACTAAAATCAAGCGTTCAATTGAAAGCTAATAAATTTTTATTTCAGATTCTATGGTTCATTTCACCATCATCTTAACTCATATTTTCTTCACTAATAGAGTAGATAATGAAGATTATAACAAGTTTGAATATTTATTATCATTAATTAAATTTTTTATATTTATTAATAATAATAATAATAATAATAATAATATGTATACGAGTGCATTATTAAATGAGGTCAATATCGATAACTTTTCAGTGCAATAAATCATAGTTTATCTTATCTTAACTTTCCAAATTCTTGGCGAGAATCTAAAGGAACATGGTCAAAGGGATCCAAAGTGGACGAAGGTTAAGTCTGTGTCCTTCTCACCTTCTAAATTATGAATTAATAAAAATGTTATTGGGCATGCTTTTATGATACAGAACAAACCCGTCGCCCTCAACTGGACGAAATTTGTCGTTTTTTATTAAAGAGGAAAAGGGGACATACAATTCTGATCGTTTTGGTATATAATTTAATTGTGTTGTATTTTTTTTAAGTAAATTAGGGTATTTTCACCCTTAAGAACGAGACTAATTTTTTCATGGCTTTAACGATTTCACCATTGATCTCAAAGTATTTTTTTTTGTAAGAATCGAACTCATGATTTTATCAGCCACAAGGGCCCCGACCTTTGAGCTGCAGTCCACTTACCAACTGCGTTACAATTGTGTTGTTTTTAATTCTTGAAAACTTTTATCTACACTAATAGAATTAAAATTATAAGAATTTACATAAAGAAGAAATATACGAATATATTATTTGCCGTGTATATAAAATACAAGAGGTGTTTACCGATATATATATATATATATATATATATATAATATATATATATATATATATATATATATATATATATATACACAAGAGGTTACATTCATTTATAAATTAAGGTCGTGCATTGGTACATGCATACAAGAAATATAAGAAGACAATCAATAAATACACGAAATAGTGAAAGATAAATAGTGAGGCTGATTACATAAATTATGTTTGCATCCCTATGCACCTACTTTACCTTAGAAACCACTAGGTTTTAGTAGTGTCAAAATGGATTGAAACTCTGCCCTCAATACCTTATATTTGGCTCATTTTTTTATGGTATGGCCTTTTCTAGCTCTAAGCCCCAAAGTCATATGCTTTAGTGAGCCAATTTTTTTACTTCTTGATTATTTTTAAAAATAAAAATATATATTAAAGATGTATGAAATTAAATATTTAAAAATATAAAATAAATTATAAACATATTATGATAATAAAATATAATTTACATTTATAACTTTATAGAATATATATAATAAATGAGTTTATCATTTCTCATACCATAGGAGATAAAGTTATCTCCAACAATCACAAAACTATGTCATTTTAAGTGTTAAGGGAATTAATGAAAGGTGTTTTGATAAAATTCATATAACAAAAAACAAATAAAATTCTTAAGATATCCTTCATTAGTCCTCTCAATCCTCAAATGGCGTAGTTTTTGGGTTGCTTGAGATAACTTTTTCTCGTGCGCGGCAGGAGAAATATGTTTCCCATAATAAATATATTTTAATGAAGTTTGAAGACTTTTAAGTAAATAGAAAAATGTTAATTTCCTCCTCCATAATTAATTTTATAGTAAATATCCAAATTTGCACCTAAATATATTGTATGGTGCACTTTGGTAGTTTTGTGAATAATGATAGGAAAAAATATTTCTCTTGTAACATGAGATAAAATTATCTCTAGTAACCCCAAAATAACAACGTTTTGTGATTTAGAAAAAAAAAATCAAGATATTTTAGTAATTCCACTTTTCATTTATATCATATGTTTTGTTAAGAGATACCCTATAATTTTTTCTCAAATCCTGAACGACATCATTTTAGGATTTTATGAGATAGCTTTATCTCTGGAGAAACCTTAACCACATAATAATAAGTAAAAAAAGTTTTAATAATGATAGTAGTTGAAGAAAATCACTAGTTTAATTTTTAAATATATAGCATACTAAGAGAAGTTGTTTAATACTAATATTAAGATCATTTTTTCATTGCTCCTTTTCGTTTTTCACTAGACTCCTGGTGAAAAAATTTCATTTAATGGCATCATTTAACAACGAAATTTAGCAAAGACAGTAAATTATTTTTTCACTTATATTAAAATTTTACTTACATTTTTACTTGTATATTTGGGTGCAAATATTATTTTATTAGAAAAATTAAATGATGAAAATTTTATATTTTATATAAATTATTTCAAGAAAGTGTTAAATAATTTGTTACTAGGGGTGTTCGCGGTCTGGATTGGATCGGTTTTGGAAGCAAAAATCATCTGATCCATTCCCTTCGGTTTGATCATGTAACCATCCATTCGGTTTGGAGTTTTTTTCAAATCCGATCCAATCCAATCCAATTTTTTTCGGTTTGGATTGGATCAGCTTTCGGGTTTTTGAAAATCCTAAAATTTGTTTCATGATTATTGTGCAAATAACATTTTTTGTATGTATGGACTCTACACAAATAAGATATGAAGCTCTTCACAAATGAAATTTTGTTAATGAGATGTGACTAGATTTTTTTTTTTTGGTTTAGTTGATGGGTTAAAGGATCTTGGGTTTAGAAATTTTTGGGCTATGATTGGGGAAAGACCCAAGTAGGTAGAGAGAAATTAATATATTGGATTGGTTTAGATTGGATCGGTTTTCATCTATCAATCCAAATATCGATCCAATCCAATTAAAATTTGCGGTTTTTTTTATTTTTGATTTTTCGATTTTCAGTTTTTCGGTTCGGTTACCGCGGTTTGAATCGGTTTGGATCGGTTGATGAACATCCCTATTTGTTACAATCATTTTGCATGTATTAAATTTGATTAAAATAAATAAAAAATTTTAAATATATAATTTTGGATAACCTACGGGCTGGCCCTAGTCAATAGGGTTTTTGGCCCATGCAAACATTTATTATTGTGGCTCATTTGTCCTATTGAGTTTGTGTGGGTTAGGGCCTAATGCGATGGTTTGATCCATTTTGACAGTTCTAAATTTTATCTCTATATTGTTTTTATTTTTGGTAGTAAATCTTATCTCTATATAGATAATGCTATATGAATCCCACAAAAAATAAATTTTGTGATAATCAAAATTTCATAAACTCAACATAATAAAAAGGCAAAGTCGAATCCCTGTTCACAAGGATAAGATATTATGCCTATCTTTTTTTATGCCTACTCTACCAACTCCTTTTCAGCGTTGTTTGATCAGAATCTTAAAAGGAAAGAGAAAAGATGAAGGTTAGTTGAGATTTTGTCTAACGGTGTTGAAGATGAGTAGACATAAAGTAGGTATAAAAAGATATACTCAGAATATCTTATCCTCTATATATTGGCGGACCCACACTTGTGCAAGTGTGGGCAAATGCAGAAACAAACATCGGCAGACTCATTCAATGACATACAATATAAACCACACCTTCACTATATATGTGTCATATATCCAAACTCTCATTATGACACACAATTATATAACAAACAAAAAGACAACTATAACTTTCTCGTGCACCATTGTGTGAAAGTGTGAAAGTGTGAAGTTACTGTGATTGGTGGGTCAAAAGATAGGGTGAAAAAACTGAAAATTAGAAACTGAAACGTATCTTCGCATATAATTATCCAAATATTGTTTTATGTGAATTTTTCTTGAATGAACGGAATGTTTATTAGGTATAATTAATTATATTTTATATCAAAATAATAATAATAAT